TGACTGTTGTGAGTTTTGTCTTTTCTTTAATGATTGGGGAGGAATAGATGTGAGGACGACTGTGTGAAGCTCTGGAGGTCTGAAACGTTCTGCTTTCACTCCTGAAGCATCTTCCAGCAGATAGAAGACCCTGTTAACGAGTTAAAACCTGGATTCCTTCAGCCTGACTGATCAGCGTTAACCTGAGACGTGTGCTGGTCTCATGAAGCTGAACTCACTGTGCAGGAGAAGCAACAACAGATTCACAGTGAACACAGACAGACAGGAATCTGATCATCAGCCTCCTGAACGTCTCATATGAACACCAGCAGCGCTCCATTTAAAGAACGCTTCACCTTCTAAGTGAACGTCGTCTTTTCACATCGACGCTGCTTTGGATCTATAAATATAAATATTAGTCGTCTTGACACAGATTCTCTGTTGGCAGCAGCTGAGCTTTAAACTCGTCCTTTGTTTGTCTTCTCTGGTGAATCTGACAGCAGCAGCAGCACGACTCAGAACCAGGAGCTCAGGATGAACAGTGACTCTGAGAAGTTCCAGGATGAAGACGTCGTTTTATTCTGCATGAAACAGACGAACACAGCGAATCTGAATCTGATCAGGAGTCAGCAGGTCGGCTGATATCGATCATTAGCTGCAGTTCAACGTGTTGGACGAAGAGTTCAGGGATTAAAATCTGCCACAGACTGTCGGTCCCAGACTGTAGACTGGAGCATTATTGTCTTTGTTAATTATTTTCTTCATGAACTGATCAGCTGTCGTCACAAAATGGTGAAATAATGTTTAAAATGTGTCGTTTTATCCAAATACACTCAGTTTACTGCCACAGAGGAGCAAAGAAACCTGAAAATGTTCACATTTAAGAATCTCAGGATTCACACATTTTATCCTTAAAAATGCTCAAACCAAAGAATCCACTGTTAAAACAGTTTGTGATCAATTTAAGAGTCGACAATCCAATAAACACACAACCCACGATGCATCCTACATGGATCAGTGTGTGTTTGTCTGGTTCCTGACCACCGACACACCACACATGCTTTTATTAAAGTGTGCCTAAACACGGGTCACTGAGGTTCACTTAAAACCAGATCTAACTATGATCTAACTATGATCTATGATCTATGATCTATGATCTATAATCTAACTGTGATCAATGATCAGACTGATGCTCTGGATTCATGCTGCTGTTCAACATGAAACTAGTTAATTAACACATTTAGTTTAAATTAGTCCCGATGCTCAATATTCACTCACTCATCAGATTTTAGACACTTCAGCAGAACAACAGCTGGTACCAGATGATGCAGTAACTGGACCAGAACCTCTCCATCAGAGTCACTGTTTAGTTTACTTCATTGATCTCTGACAACGTTTCACATCTTAGTGAACTTCTAACAGCTTCTATAATCAATAATCACCGATAACTTCCAGTGAGGACTCTGTTCAAGTGGTTCCGTCCCGTCCTGCAGGCTGCTGGGGGTCGAACCGGTAACTCACCGGGCTCCGCGGTCCGATCGGCTCCTCTCTCCGCTGCGCGCCGACCAACTCACACATCCGACCGTTACCGCCTCCGGCAGCTCAGCCTGCGGCGGACGGAGCTCCCTGCTCGGCGTGAGCTGCAGCCGAGGACCCGCCGTCAGCACCGGCACCGGTGGAGGTGAGCGGCACCGGTGGAGGTGAGCGGTACCGGTGGAGCTGAACGGTACCGGACTCAGGCTGAACTCTTCTCCGTCTGAGGATCTGCTCCGTCTATAAATACATGAAGTCAGTGATGCTGGGAAACTGGAACAGGTCACGTTTATAATTAGAGCTCCTGAAAGAAACACAACAACCTCCGAGCAGCACGTGAACGTGTTTAATGAAGAACCGGACAAGTTCGCATGGGCGTGACGTCACGGAGGGGGCGTGGCTCCAGGTCCGGGGAATTATATTCACGCGTTAAACTTATAAAAATGGAAAAAATAAAAAATAAAAATTAAACAAAACAACAAACAAAGAGCAACTATTCACTGTTTGTAACTGAATATAAATTATAAAAAACAGACTAAAAATCAGTTTAATTCTCCTTTTGCCCGTTAACAAATGTACATTTTGCATATTATTCAAACATGACTCTGGTTGAGTCATTTTGATAGAAATTAAACATTCGCAAATTACACACTTCAAAAAAATAATTTTCTAAATGTAATTAAATTTCTCAGCCAGCTTCCTGGAACTGAGCTAAGACCAGCTAGCATAGCCCTGTTTGAGCCCCTCCTGCTTTCATAAATACAGGAGGAAACATATCTTCCAGACACAATTCCTTCTCTGCCAAAAACTATTTTCTAATACAGTCACATGTTAATGCTGTTTGTTAGCCGCTACATTAGCCTACACAAGTCAGATAAGCTGCCATGTTGGCTTAAAGACAAGTAATGTTGGTGGCTACATTAGCATAAACAAGATATTAGCCATTACAGTATCTTAATGTTAAGTAATGTTAGCTGCTACGTTAGCTTANGTTTCGCTGCGTTTGCTGATTGAATCAGCAGCTCTAACGCGACCTCTTGTCCTGAACACACATGAAGCTGCTCCAGTCTCCAGTTTTAACCTGATTAAAGTGAACAGAAGGCAGATGGTGGTCGACCCCCGACTCCGCTCAGCTCCAGGAGGCTCCTCAGACCTCCCTGGTCCACTTCAACACAACGATTCACTGAGTTAAAGGCCACAATCAACTGTGAGCATCTGAGCTGTGTGACGATTACTGAACAGACGTAAAACCAAACACCTGCTTCAGTCTCAAAACATTCAGCTGCAAAACAAACCAAAGGAACAAAGGAAACGACAACATCTGGAGGACGGCAGCTCTGGTTTAGTGTCCAGGACACATTCAAAGAATGAAACGCTCCAGAAGAGGCCGGGTTTTTAGGTTTTGTCCCTTAAAATGCAAAAACAAAGGTGCAATATTTCCCAACTAATGTGGAATAGTGTCCTCAGAAAGTTCTTGTCAGTGTCTGTCTATGGATGGATCCATGGTTCTACTAGAACCCAGTCTCTGGTCACATCTCACCACCTGTTGAGGCTCTAACATCAGCAGAACCTGATGTGGTGAAGCTGGACCAGACAAGGTTCTGGTTTGTGGATATTCTGACATACCAGAATGCCAACATGAGTCCATTTGGACCATTTTTCTGTCATTTTTTGACATATTTTAAGCTCTGTTTCTACCATTTTGAGTCCCACTGGCCCCATTGGAGCCACTGTGGACAGGATCTGAGTTCGTTTGGACAAGACTGGACCCTGTTCTGCCTGAGTCCTCACCACAGTTCATGACAGTAGGAGTTAAAGTTCTGGACACACTGAAGCCTTGAAACGGCTTCACACGTCTGAAAATTATTGAAGTTCCACCAAAATTTAAAAAAACACTTAATTTTAGGTCCCAGATGACAAATGAAGTGTGAACAACAACCAGAAAGCGAGAGCATCAGCAGATCACTGAGGTCCATCCTGTGTGGACCCGAGATGTCAAACCCGAGTTAGAAACCAAACCGGTGCTTTTATTGGCTAACAAACGTCCTCAGTTATTAAACTGTAGCTCTAATGCTGATATAAAACATGAAATAAATCACCAGTAGCAGCTGTCCTCTCTGTGTTTCTGCAGATTTGGACTGGAGGAGGTAAACGTGGTCCGATCCTGAACTCTGTTCTCGTGCAGATGGTGCACGTCGCTGCCAAACCGATTCACACCGAAGGCAGACAGAACCGTGGCAGCTGAAGCTCTCGGGCTGAAGGGGAACCGACACCAGGGTTATTTAACGAGTCGCTGAGCTCCACGAGGTGTGAAGCAGCTTCGACCGGCGGCCAAACGGCGGCTAATCGGCTCCATTTACAGATTTCATTCTGCTCCAGAAACACTGAAGTCAGCAGCTGCTCACGTCAACCTGCTCCCACACATTTCTTCTACACAATCCAGTCGTATGTAAGAAAACAGGTGAAACAGCTTCAGAGCGTCGGTCCGACTCCTCTGATTGTTGTCCTGCTCAGAGAATCATCACGTTGCTGCTGCAGACTTCAGGCCTTTAAGGAACAATAAAACATCTGGTTGGTTTTTCATTGAAGCCTCTTCTAGCTGTATAACTGAATCATCTGCTGGTTCTATTTTGCTGAACAGACAGTAAACTGACTGTTTTGGGCTTTTTTGTTTAATAAAATAAATAAAATAAAATAATATACATATTAATGTATTATCAAAATACAAATAAAATATTTTTATTAATTTAATAAAATAGAAATGTGATAAAAATGTAAAATAATCAAGTTATTTACTGACATAATGGAAATGTCAATTATAGTTTTCATTATGTCAGTAAATAATTTGATTATTTGACATTTTTAATATTTTCAGTCAGACTTCCTGTTGACAGGTGTTCTCATCAGCAAAGGGATCTGGTTTGGTTTTTTTAAATTATTCTTTCCACCCACAATTTAAAAGCAACGTCTGATTTCACTAAATTATATTTTAGCAAATTTTTATTTATTCTGACTTTTTTCAGTTTCTAGTTATTTGACTGACTGTTGTGAGTTTTGTCTTTTCTTTAATGATTGGGGAGGAATAGATGTGAGGACGACTGTGTGAAGCTCTGGAGGTCTGAAACGTTCTGCTTTCACTCCTGAAGCGTCTTCCAGCAGATTGAAGACACAGTTAACGAGTTAAAACCTGGATTCCTTCAGCCTGACTGATCAGCGTTAACCTGAGACGTGTGCTGGTCTCATGAAGCTGAACTCACTGTGCAGGAGAAGCAACAACAGATTCACAGTGAACACAGACAGACAGGAATCTGATCATCAGCCTCCTGAACGTCTCATATGAACACCAGCAGCGCTCCATTTAAAGAACGCTTCACCTTCTAAGTGAACGTCGTCTTTTCACATCGACGCTGCTTTGGATCTATAAATATAAATATTAGTCGTCTTGACACAGATTCTCTGTTGGCAGCAGCTGAGCTTTAAACTCGTCCTTTGTTTGTCTTCTCTGGTGAATCTGACAGCAGCAGCAGCACGACTCAGAACCAGGAGCTCAGGATGAACAGTGACTCTGAGAAGTTCCAGGATGAAGACGTCGTTTTATTCTGCATGAAACAGACGAACACAGCGAATCTGAATCTGATCAGGAGTCAGCAGGTCGGCTGATATCGATCATTAGCTGCAGTTCAACGTGTTGGACGAAGAGTTCAGGGATTAAAATCTGCCACAGACTGTCGGTCCCAGACTGTAGACTGGAGCATTATTGTCTTTGTTAATTATTTTCTTCATGAACTGATCAGCTGTCGTCACAAAATGGTGAAATAATGTTTAAAATGTGTCGTTTTATCCAAATACACTCAGTTTACTGCCACAGAGGAGCAAAGAAACCTGAAAATGTTCACATTTAAGAATCTCAGGATTCACACATTTTATCCTTAAAAATGCTCAAACCAAAGAATCAACTATTAAAACAGTTTGTGATCAATTTAAGAGTCGACAATCCAATAAACACACAACCCACGATGCATCCTACATGGATCAGTGTGTGTTTGTTCCTGACCACCGACACACCACACACGCTTTTATTAAAGTGGGCCTAAACACGGGTCACTGAGATTCACTTAAAACCAGATCTAACTATGATCTATGATCTAAGATCTATGATCAGACTGATGCTCTGGGTTCAACATGAAACTAGTTAATTAACACATTTAGTTTAAATTAGTCCCGATGCTCAATATTCACTCACTCATCAGATTTTAGACACTTCAGCAGA